TTATTAATGCCTGGGTTTTGCACCCGTTTTTCTTGAAGGAGGTGAGAAAGGTTTGGAAAACACATAAGTGGTAGGCTAGGTATGCTATAGAATAAAGACAAGATTGTAAGCAGTTAAAGACGCCTTAAGGAAATGTAATTATTATGTCTCTTGGAATGTAAACAGTAAGAGGAACTGAATTACTTGGATTTGATTGCTGAATTGAGATCCTTACAAGATGTTGAAGTAAGGAGAAGAAAGGAAATCAAAGGGAACGTATGGAAGTCAAGAAAATTGGAAGAATGGATTTGGTAACAGAAGTCTAGAGTGAACTGCGCTGTAAAAGGTGACAAAAATACCAGGTATTTCCACATCATGGCTACCAAAAGGCATAATAGGCATCTAATGGATTCAATCACTGTAAATGGAATTAGCTATAATAATCCCATGGAGAAGAAGTAGGTGGTGTCTAACTACTTGAAGAGTGCCTTCCCTGAATATTGAAAGGACAGACCAAAACTCTTTGGTGATTTCAAGACAATTGAGCCAAGCCATCATCTAAAATACTTGAGAAGACTTCTTTGAAGCAGAAATTTGGACTATCATCAAGGAATGTGATGGTAACAAAGCTCATGGGCCTGATGAATTTAATTCAACATGCTTCCAAAAAGGGTGGAGATTTATGAAATGTTGGAAAAATGTAGGAAGACAAATGATTCAGTGGCTAACATTTTGCTTGAATGTGATATTTCTTTGCGGTTGAAACTGATTTTGTTTTGGCCTAGGGGATATGAATTTTTTTATTTTTCCACATTTTAAGTTTAACTGGAAAGTAGGAATTTATGTACATTACTACATAGCTTTTAGGTTGTGTTTGGATCTTGAATTTATATTTTAGGATTTTTAGGATTTGTGGAGAAAAAGTGGGGAAAATAATTTCAAGGTCTCATTATTGTCAAGTGATATTGATAAATGGAGTAGCATTGTTGTTGGCCTAAAATGTTGGCATTTTCTTGTTGGTCTTTCAGCCAACTTACTGCTACGTTGAAGAGTCTTATTAGTTTTTGGATTGTATTTTATTTATTTATTTATTTAGATTTATATTTTTGTTTTTGGAACTTGTAGTTTTTGGCTTGAAATGGTTAATTTCTTGCTAGCTGTGAGTGCAGAAGACCTTTAGGATTTAACAACTTTTCTTTCTAAGCAAATTTTTAAGGCTTTTTTTTTCCTACTCCTTTAGATTATTTTATTCCCTATTATCTCTTTCTCACAGCATTATTTTGAACCACTACATGTTATCGTAAACAATTAATGGTTTTTTTCTGAGTTAAACTCAACTGGAGAATGGGTCTGAGTAAAATAATTTCTGACTTAAACTCAATAGTTTTTGCATTTAATTTTAATTGGCAAATCGTAGTGATTTCTTTTTTTTTTCTTTTTTCTTTTTTTTTAGGGACACTATTGTCGAATCCATTAGCATCAGCTAAGAAGTCTGTGACGGTGGAGAAGAAATTGGGCCACCCAGTATACATCCTTGGCCATAACAAGAATACTGGTTCTTGCCATATTGACATGCTCAATTATATTGCCTCCTTAATATCGATTGTTTCATTTGGAACATTCTTAGGTTCCTTTCTGACAGCCAAGCCTCCTCTGTTGGAGTTGGAGGATTTGAAAATGGTGGAGGCCGTGGGAACTGCTATCAAAGCTCGGGTCGAAAGTTTGCAGACAGAGATGACAACCATAGGGAGCAACGTCGAGACAATAAAGAAGGACATCCGGGAGCTGAAGGAGAAGAAATTCAGCTTCAGGTTTTGGTGAGATGGAGATTATTCCTGAAGGGTTATTTTAATTATATTTTTTAAACAGAGATTACCAATTACATTTTTTAATTAACAGAACATTATCTGAACCTACTTTTCTCTTGTAGTGTTTACATTCTAGTAAAAAAAGTATAATAGTAATAACGTTTTTTTATGTTTTTTTAACTGTGTCATTACTATTTCATGTTTTAACGTAGTTTATAAATTATATTTGTTCATATACTAGTTATTTAATTTTGGGTTTAAAAAACAACTGTGGTAAATTTTACTTTGCTTGTGGTATCATCAATGTGCAGATTATCATCAATCATTTTGAAATAGTTGCATAATTTTTTTTGTAATTTGTAGATTGAAGTGTATTCACCATGTTTGGTTTTAATTTTCTGAATTCAATTTTTCAAAAATTGAGTTTTTTTATCTTTTTGTATATTTTTTATTTTTAGTGAATATTTTTAAAATTTTAAACAATTTTCTTTACCTTTTTAGATGTATCTTACTTATATGTATCTAAAAAGTAAAATATTTACAAAAAAATATTATACTTTTTAAGTGTATTTATGTTTGGTTTTTAAAAAAATAAAAATAAAATGCTTAAAATATTTTTAAAAAAATCAATAAACAAAAAAAAGGGAAAATAAAAAATTTTAATTTTTTTAAAAATGAATCAGAAAACTCAAATCAAACAAGCTAAGAATTTCATCAAGTTAATAGTAAAAACATTTGTTAAAAATGGTGAGAATGTTCATGATTTGCAGAGTGAGACTAACCTATGCACAAGAGTATTTTAGTGTTTTCACCCGAGCTATTAATAGATTGAACGAGATGTACTTTAGTATGAAAATTACGTGAGTTATGTGTTTATTTTCAAATGATAAGAGCTATGTACACATGAGCCATAATTTGGGTAAAGTGAAATTTGTTCAAAAAACTAATTAGGTCAAAAAGGCGATTCTATAGCTTGGAAATAAAAAATCGTAAGAATTTTAATTTGAATGATAGCTAGTTGACATTAAATAGATAGATAGACAGATATGTTACGTGGATAGAAATGTGAAATAGTAGACAAGTAATTTTTAAATTGTTATGTTCCTTTTAACTTTAAAATATTAGGATTTAAGAATATTGTCTAAAAAATTTTAAAATTAGATTTATCTGTTGATTGACTTTTTAGATAAATGAATTTTAGTGAAATTACGAGGCCTCGTTTGTCAACTACATATTTTAATCAAAAAATCATTATAAATTATCACATCATTCTCTCTATTTTTCTGTACATATTTTTTTTAAACATTTTATGTGAAATTATGATGGAATAAAATGCTTCATTATTAAGGTACGCCATTTAATGCACGTCACCTAAAACAAATTACTTTTCAAGCATGACAAAATATGGACCAAAGAGTTTTAAAACGTTAAAAGCATTCACACTTGCATTAAAACGTTTTTCGCTGTAAATCTAGAGACATAATATTGGAAAGTCATAACAAAAAAATATTTCAACAAATGTCCCCGACCCATGAAATTTTTTTCACTATACACACCCTTTCTAAATGCGCCTTCTAATTTATATTAGGATAAATTATAAATTCATGAGTAACATTAAGATAATAATAATTTTATGAAATAAATTTAAATATAAAAAATTACATATTCATTATTTATAAGAACAAATCAAAATTCTATAATGATGTGGAATAGCTCGATGTAGAATGATGACGTAAATTTACAATTTTAGCACAAAAAATTATGGATCAAAATTTCTAATTTAACAAAATAAAAACACATCATTTATAACACAAATTATTATAAAATCTATTTAATTTTTATTTGAAAGAAAAATATTAAAGAGATGACATTGCTTATAAATTATGTGTTCAAAAAGAAAATTATTAAACAATCTTAGAATACCATATGACGTTGCCTACGTGAGCTCAAAACATAGAAAATTACAAATTACACTAATGTCAACTACTTGAAAATAATGAATTCATTATATCCAATCTATATAATATTTTTCGCTACACTATTGATTTAAACTACTATATAAACAATACCATGTAGTGTTCCAAAAGTATTAAATAACTACTTGTTGTGAACAATACAATAAACCTTTAATCAAAGAACATGTTAAGAAAAAAAAAATACATTTCATACATGACAATAACAAAAAAAAAATAAAAAATCAAAAATGAGGAAGGGCACGTGACCCCCTAGCTGGCCCTGCTGTGCCTCCGCCCCTGATCCTACCTAATATTATGTCAAATTAATGTGTTAATTGATACACCAATTAGTGTTTTGATTAGTATTGCAAGCAATATGCCAAGCCAAATCTAGTCAAATCATGAAAATTGTTTCTGGCAAAAAGCAAGGGACAATTACTGATAAGTGAGAATCGGAAAAATTATTTACAAAAATATGATAAACATTATAATTATTAATAATTAAAATTATAAACTTTATAATTTTTCTAATCATCACTTATCAATATTTCCCCAAAAAAGTTATGAAAAACAAATTATTTTCTTGGAAACATCAAAAAAGTTATTTTGAATTTTCAAAATTGTTATAGTACAAATAAAAACAAGAGAGCAGCTTCTGTCCCGTTCGAAATCGTATTGGACCATGTTGTTAGGCCTGTGAGGACTCATCATAGTCTCGTTTCGATAATCCGAACCGTTAATATATAAAATTCATTAAGTTACTATATGTCTATAAAAAATCACGTTGATCATATATTTATAGCTGTGTGATCAAATCAATTTTGTATAAAAAAATAGACGGTGAATAAATTAACAGTTAATATAAAACTGATCCGATGACATAGCTATCGATATTCGATCAACGTAATTTTTTACAAGAATATAATATTTGACAAATTCTACATATTGAACGGCTAGTATTATCAAAACGGGACCCGTGGTGGGCCCCACAGGCCCAACAGCACGGTCCAGTCCGATCGAACTGGACAGAAGCCGCACCCAACAAGAAATTAATGTATTCCATCTTTTCATTATTTTGTTTTTGAAAACATGAAAACTTAAAACACAACCAAACGCAAAAATCAAGAACAAGAAAAAAGGGATGGAAATGGCAGAAGCACAAAGGAATTCTCCAGAAAACTCTTTCATCTCCTTCCACCACGTCTATTAGGATTAGCACATTAACGCAAGCAAAGTTAAAAACTCCAATGCACTTAACTGGAACAATAATACATAAAACCATATTTATGTAAGAACAGTAAATCACTTGAAAGGTTTCAAGTTTCGCAAATAAAACTATTGCAGGACACGGACCAATTATCATCCTTTAAATCATGGTGGATTGATTCCTTGTCATACGTCACTTGCGTAAATGCCTGGACTGATTCCTAATCGTACAGCATAGAGTAAATGCCTTCATGAAGAGAATGAAATGTGGTACCCATAGTTGAGCACTGGTTCGCATCTTAACAACATCACCTTCCAGACTGAAATGGAAAACATTGAAAGATTAGCCGAAGTTCAAATATAAAACATCTATCTTGGACAATCAGTTAAGAAATTGGGTACTTGTATGAATCATGGAAACTGAATCCTGCAATTCTGCTTATATTACTTTTGAAATGGCTTCACCCTAGTTCAAGTCTCTCTCATTGTTTTAATGGTGCATTCTCATTCTTCCTACTCTCATGACAAAGAATACTATGCATGACAAGCATTTCAAAAGTAGAGGGTCAATCACCCATTCAAGCGATTCACCACCACTTCAGGAATCTACCTGCTGGCCAAAGTAGAGAGTATTGCATAAGTAACCATGAAACGGTGTTCGTTAATAAACAGACCATTTGCATTGAGGCATGCCAATCAATGATTGTGCCTATTATTTAAACAAACCAAATAAAAGGATTGCTTCCTAGTAACCCCAATAGAGTGTGATTTATTATGATGCCACAACATCCTCAGACCTATCCTCCAGGCTCCAGTCTAATGGTAGATAAACAATGAGCCTCCAATCTATCTATATGCCAATATGTTGGACTCGAGGATTTGGTTATAAGACAAAAATATCTGGTCTTGAAGCATCTCAAAGCTTTTACTGGCTGTTTCTCAGCTGTACTGTCTCTCACATCAGATTGTTTTAGTTATTACATTACACCAACTCAAACTCAACAAACCCTACCAACAATCTAGCAAACCAAAAATGTTGGGATGTCTGTTAGCTTACCCATAATTATATAACCCAGCTAGCCAATGCACCCCAAATTTGGTACCTCAAAGTTCTCATATGAAATTCAACTAATACCATTGAATAACATAATATATAACCAGCCAAACTTATGCCACACATGAAATTCCATTTCTGACATATATAGCTCATCCCAATGACATGAGGAAATAGCAAGAAAATAAGCTATGCTTATGGTGAGCGCTCAAATCTTATGCAGTTGTCATTTTTATAACATGGAGCATTTCACACTAGTTCTACATAAACAAATTGATGGACCAAAATGGCAAAAAGAAAATTAGGAAAGGAATGAAGGAATCAGCTCCCAACTAAGACAATGGCTTGTTAACAAAACTTGAGTAAAATGGTTTATTGAGAAGATGATTTAAAGAGTAAACTTAACAAACCTGAACGAGAGAAATATCCAATTCACTTGGGAAGGTACTGTGACCACGAGGGGATTCAGGTGGACTCATATCATGCACATTTTCCCCAGCATTTTCATTGGGAGACTGAGTAATTACACTCTCTTGAGTGTCTTTTCCTTTATACCAGAAGTTTGAGGTTGAGCAACTTGATTCCTTATATCTGTTGGACAAGAACCATACATCCAAGAATCAAAGAAATGAAACAAGCAAGCATCAGCTCCTAAAGAAACCAAACTATCAAAAAAAAGTACCTGGCAGAAGCTGCAGAAAATTTCAATTTAACAGACTCCGAGAAAGCAAGAAATTCAGATGAGCTTGGTCTTTGTGGACTTTCGGAGTTGCAAAGGACTCTAAATAATTACCAAACATGTAGAAAGTAAATATCCAATTCACTTGGGAAGGTACTGTGACCACGAGGGGATTCAGGTGGACTCATATCATGCACATTTTCCCCAGCATTTTCATTGGGAGACTGAGTAATTACACTCTCTTGAGTGTCTTTTCCTTTATACCAGAAGTTTGAGGTTGAGCAACTGGATAAAGGAACAGAAATTCCGGTCCGTTTTGAGGGAAGATCAAGGCGCTCAATCATTCGTGCAACACTAGCAATACCTGCATTCATCTCACGTTGAACTCCTCTTCCCAATTCTCTGGCTAAGATATTGTGCGCAAGTAGCTTCTCTTTAAATCCTCAGGTACTTTTTGAGATTGATTCCTTATATCTGTTGCACAAGAACCATACATCCAAGAATCAAAGAAATGAAACAAGCAAGCATCAGCTCCTAAAGAAACCAAACTATCAAAAAAAAGTACCTGGCAGAAGCTGTAGAAAATTTCAATTTAACAGACTCCGAGAAAGCAAGAAATTCAGATGAGCTTGGTCTTTGTGGACTTTTGGAGCTGCAAAGGACTCTAAATAATTACCAAACATGTAGAAAGTCATAGAATCATGTATGTGTAAGAACAGTCCGAAGAAACAGACACAAGGGATATTAGGTTGCAACAAACTTCTACATTATCAAACTCCTTCATTCACTTGTAACATTCAAAAACTATTCATCGATTATAAGAAATGAGTTAAGAGTGTGTTGGTTTATTGAAATTAATTCATGAATATATATATATACCAAAATACAAGGATCAAAGTTCTGGTAGGTACTTGGGTTTATTGCAACGGTCTCTGTTGCCAACAGAGTTGGGCAAACTTCTACATTATCAAACTCCTTCATTCACTTGTAACATTCAAAAACTATTCATCGATTATAAGAAATGAGTTAAGAGTGTGTTGGTTTATTGAAATTAATTCATGAATATATATATACCAAAATACAAGGATCAAAGTTCTGGTAGGTACCTGGGTTTATTGCAACGGTCTCTGTTGCCAACAGAGTTGGGTTCCACATTCACAACCTCTGAAACCACAGACCTTAGAGTGCTAAATGTTGGTGAATCACCCTCCGAAAACTCATAACTGGAAGTTTGGTGTTCTTCTGGTGATGTTGTGCGCAAACGCTGCACATCAGGTAGAGGTAAATATTCAGTAGGAACAGAGAGCAGAACCAGCGGAGGACCAATACCAGAAGATCTCGGCCTTCCCCTTCTCTCAACATAACGAGCTCTGCGTGCTGCAACAGTAAAATGCCTCATAATACGCTCATCGAAATCTGAATCATCTCCATAAGAATTAGCCTGAGAGACGAATTTCATTATTAGCAAGCTATTTAACATAACCAATTTGAAGGATAAGTAGATTCAAGTTAAACCATAAAACTCACAATATTCATTTCATAGTCCTCACGGATATGGCGAGCATTGCGCCTTGACCTCAAATTCCTCTCATTCTCCACTGCAGCTAAAAGCTCTTGACTAAAGGTAGTAGAAGAAAGAAAATTGACAATAAATAATTTCATGAGATTGAATTCATCACTGAGACACCGACATTAAGAAATTCATGAGTTAACAATAACAAATCTTTTGTGTGCCAATGTGATTCTTTCCACACAAAAATCATCTACCTGGAAGGGTCCTTCAAGACAAGAAGCTGCCAAAATATAGGGCACTCTTTGCTTCTTTGTGACCTGAAGAGAAACAAGTCACCATACGAACAAACGAACACAATGTACAAGTAAAAAACATGCATGTGAACACATGGGTGTAAAGTGCTATCACTGAAATATTGGTTCTAAAGTTCCAGACAGTTCAAGTTTAAACTAAATAAAAATAGTAAGTGCATCTACCTTTCAAGAATACACTGGAGATGATAATCATGTCTACAGTTGGTGACCTGTGAAAAGAAACAAAACTTCAAAGATTAATACTTGCCTGAACCTACATGTAATTATCTATAAAATGAGCAAGAACAATCAATATATCAGGACAAGTGTATTTATCATAAATTACTAGCAATCATTTGCCAAATTCGCTGTCACGACCATAAAATTCAAAATTTTGTGACACAAACTGAATCATAAAGAGAAAAAGAGTTGCAAAAATAGAAATTCAAAAGAATAATGTGTGAGTGATTTTCTGATCACATTGACCGTTTAGTAATTAGCTAGAGAGCACCGGCAGAATAAATGGCTTCAGCTAACCTGTAACAGAAAGAGAAGGCTCCGGCGGTGGTTCTTCCACCCGAGGGCACTCCGACGATCAAGTCAGTATATCTTTCAAAGATAATCAAGTGCTAAACTCACTGCTCAAAGCATAAATTGCGTACCTTAGACCCACGGGGGTGCCTCTTTTTTTTATAGTTAACTCAATCTAGTCCCACTAGAAGCCTGACTTCTAGGGACTCAAATTCTGGACTTACCTTGGACTCTTCAAGAGATAAAGATAAACTCCCTAAGAGCTTTATCCTCATCTTGACTAAGTCTCCTCTTCATTCTTGGACTCTTGTCCCCTATCCGCTTATCTCGGATTCCGATATCTTCGGAGGAAACCTCGGCCTAACCGAGATTACCTTGGTACAACGACCAGGACACGTGGTACCTCGGCTGACACGTCGGCGTCACCTTGCCACGTGTTTGTACTCAGAAAATACATCCCCACAACTGCCCCTAGGTTCTATTACCTCGGTATCCTGAGGTGATAGAACCTATATCGGTATTTCTTCCTGTACATCGGCTCAAGAACTCCTCAGCCGAGATCATTCATTTCAGGCCGACATGTTCTCTTCAGAGAACAAAAATTCCAGTGAACTCTTTCACGTGTGTGAGCTGTCACGCATCATTTACTCAACCGTTTCATTCACGCGTCTTCACCTCATTGGACTGTGCCTATGACGCGCTTGCAAGGCGTCTTGCGTCTGTGTGTGCCGTCTGACGTATGCGTTGTTCTAGGCGCATTCAATGCTCCGTTTTGTCGTCATTTCAAATTTTTGACAAAACCTTTCCCCTTTTCTTCATTTTTCACTTTTGCATTCGATTTCTCTTCGCTTTTTCTCTCTCTAGCTCCTGAATACGCCATTGTTCCAGTCCTCAAGCTCTACAACTGCCTTCCTTTCTCCCTTCCTGTGAAGCTTTTGTCGTTTTTGTTACATCTGTAACTGTCGTCTGACTTCGGCAATCTTCATACCGACTTCACTTTTTTCTAGTAAGCCACTGTTCCTTTCGTTTTCAATTCTGTTGATATTCTTCATTACTTGTTGCCATTATTGTTTCAAATCTTGCAAATCACATATCTGAACATATTTATTCAAATGGTTTTGATCTTGCCCATATCTTGAATACATACTATTCACCACTTTCTTGCACTTTTGTTACTGTTCTTGACCCTTTATTTCTCGTATTCTTTATGCTCTTGATAGCCCATCCCTGTTCTTGATTCTAAAGTACGCCTTTGCCTTTTTGTCTTCCAGATCCGTGCCTTCAACCCTTGCTTTCATAGATCTAGGTTTGGGATTTGTTGTGCAAAACCCATAATTTAGGAAAAAACTGAAACTAGTACTTTACCTAGATTTTTGCCGAGGTCTTACTAACCCTCTCAAAACATTTTTTCTCTAAAATTCAACCCCTCTAATTCAGGCCGATATCATGGGTATGTGGAGACATAGGGTAGATACCCCGACCAAACTTGAGTACTTTAGGCAAGAGTTCTCTATCCCTGCTGATGTCCATCTGAGGCTGGCTGGAGATAATGACTTTATCATGCCCACAGATGATTCGATGCCCTTTCCCATTGTAGCTTTCACTGAGTGCGGACTCCAGCTCCTACTCAACATCTTTTTTCATGAGATTCTTCACTATTATAAGTTGAATCCCATGCAATTGGCAATCAATTCCTACCGAGTGATCAATGGCATCATAGCCTTAGCTAAACAGGAAAATGCTAGGATCACCCTAGCCGATATCCAGTACTGCTATACCATGTGTGCCCTTAATTTGAAAGAAAAAGGCTATAATTATTACCTTAAGCCGAGGTCTACAGAATTCAAAATTGTAGCCGACCTCCCAGACTCCAACAAGGGGGCTGGAGATGACTATTTCATTACCTCGGGAAATTGGGAGTTTGCTCCAGACGAGGACATCCATCTCTACCCTCTTCCTCGATCAGTTTTAGAGGGCAAGGGTAAGAGCCCAGTATTCAGCTTTGCCTGTTTTCTTTCAAAGTCTTAAATACTTTGTCTGTTTCTGACATTTGTTCTTCTTGCAGCTGTTCGTAAGCCACCGAAAAATTTTCGCCAATCCTTTGTTCCCAGCAAGGATTTGAAGAAACTTCTGAACTTGCCAGTCCATAAAAGGAAGGCGCCTGTGCTTCTCAATTTTATTCCAACATATAAGTCAACTTTGCCCGACGTTCCCAAAAAGAAGAAAAAAAGCCTTTTTCCACCCTTTGCTACAACTCCATTGACTGTATCCACATCATGAACAGATCAAGGATCAACATCCGATCCAGTTGATCAGCCATCAACTTCGGCTCCATACCTGGTCCCAATATCAAAAGGAAAACGTCGGCGACGACTTGTCCTTACTGCCGAGATGGGCCGCCCAAAACCAGTTGCAAAAGACCTCTTAGCCAGCCTCCCTTCTGATGTTGAAACTCAGCCAACACAAACCATGCCCCCACCGAAGCCGAAAAGAGTTAAAAAGGCTCAGCCAAAGGCTAAAGTAACTCAGGTTGAATTTGAGGATACTTTACCTATTTCCAAGCTGGCTGAGAGTGACAAATCTCAACCCTCTACTGGGAAGAGGCGCTCTGAAACCCAGCCATCAGAATCTCAAAAATCAAAGAAGCCGAGGTCATCCTCTGCAACGACCTCAGGTCCAAAATACCAGACGTCCCCTGGGCGCCTGAAATTACTCTAGAAGATAAGCCTGTTATGGCTAGTGATAGCGCCGATGACATCAATGTCGGCGTCGCCCTTAGTACTGCTCTACTTCTTCCAGGCGATCTTGATAGGAACGCCAAGATGAGCGAGTATGAGAACTATGCTTTCATGCTTCAACGTTCTGTTCAAGTTAGTGTCTTCACTTCGTAACTTGTCTTTCTTTCTCCTTTTCATACTTGTAAAATTTTTCAAATAACTTGGAGGATCAGGTTGAGGCTGCTATCAAAGCCCAGACTGAGGCCGAAGAGAAGGTCGATTCTGTCGAGGCCATAAGGAAGGTTGCTGAGTCCCAGAGAAAAGAGGCCAAGAAGAAAATGGCCCAGGCCGAAAAGGAGCTTTAGGAGGCCCTGGCCACCAAAGATGCCGAAATCAAAGAAGCTGATGAAAAGGCGTACACTCAAGGCATGACCGACGTTACTAAGGCTTATGAACTTCAAGTGAAGCAGGCATGCAACAAGGGTTTCACCCTTGGTTGGATGTCTCTTCTGAAAAAACTCAATGTCCCTGATGATTCGCCTCTGAGGAATACCGATGATATTCCTCTTCCATTCCCTCCACCTCCTCCACCAGCTCAGTCCGATGAAGATTCAGAATCTGAAGATGAGGAAGAGGATGATGCCTTGGTGAGAAAAGCAAAGGAGGCTACTGCGTCCAAGTCCCCCCCTCAAAATGAGCAAGTCCTAGACTTAACTTAAGACGAGGAGGTTGAGGAGGTTCCCAAGGATGTGATTCCTCCAAAGGTATCATCGGATTCACTTCTAGCTGATAAGAGTATTGATGAGACCCTTGCCCAAATTGATGCCAAGATCGCGGTGGAGAAGGCGGTCGAGGTATCTTCTCAGCAGTCCTCTGACGTCCAAACCCAGCCTGTTGCCGATGTTGCGGAATCTTAGTTTTGATGTCATGTCTTTCCTTTTCTTGTCTTTTGTACTCTTGTACTTCTTTGTTTCTTTAGACGATGTAAGTTTTGCATATGGCCAATGTGCCTTTTTGTGAATGCTAACTCAACTTTCTTTTTCTGAATACTTGTATCTTTGTCTTCTTCTAACTGCTCTTGTATGATTCTATACTTAGAATATTTTGCATGTCTTATGTACTCTTCCTTTTTTGTGCAATCTTTTCAGGGTGACACACCTCGGTTATGCCACCTGACGATTTACCTCGGCAAGTACTTGTCCTGTAAATTGCTTACAAATTTCAATAAGGATTAACATATACTGTTTTAATTTCTATTTTGTAAACTTTTCTTAAGTTATAACAAGTGCCAAACAATGATTTTGGTTTAGCTTCAACTTGTAAATTGCTACAAATTTCAACAAGCGTTAAGCATTACTTCGGTTTAACTTCAACTTGTAAATTGCTACAAATTTCAACAAGTGAAGATAAACAATAATCTCGGCTTAACTTCAGCTTGTAAATTGCTACAAATTTCAACAAGCGTTAAGCATTACTTCGGTTTTAACTTCAACCTGTAAATTGCTACAAATTTCAACAAGTGAAGATAAACAATAATCTCAGCTTAACTTCAACTTGTAAATTGCTACAAATTTCAACAAGCGTTAAGCATTACTGTCTTCTCTCTGCCCCCAATGTGAACCTGAGTTCCACTTGGGTTCTCATTACTCAGAACAATTATTATGCATCTTTTGACAATTTACAAGTCTTTGGAGAACTCTTGCTAAAATTTTATTGATGAATAAATAACAAGGAACATCTAATGATAGAAAAATTTCAAATTACAAGTGTTCCAGGGTCTTGGCAATGCTTTGCCCTCATTATCTTCGAGCCGGTATGCTCCATTGCCCAATATCGAAGTGATTTTGTAGGGTCCTTCCCAGTTTGGGCCAAGCTTGCCCTCTCTGGGATCCTTCTTGTTGCCAACAACTTTTCTTAGGACTAGGTCGCCGACTTGAAAATCCCTCGGATTGACCTTCTTATTGTAAGCTCTAGCAAGCTGC